CTGCGCCCAATGACCATGAATCTGATTGGCTGGCAAATGCAGGTACTCGGCGATTCGCAGTGCCAAGAGGTATTCACTGCGATTCGTGAGACGTTCAATGAGCTTCTCGGGTGTCATGCGACGGTACTGATCGTAACTGAGCGGCAGTCCAACCTCGTAAAAACGCACAGCGTTGAGAACTCGTAGTGTATCGCAGGTATCGACAAAGTCATCAGACGAGTACAAGTCCAATACCGACTTTCCGTATGAGGCAGCTTTCAACAGCGACTTCTGCCAATGAATATTGTACTCATGCGCAGCAGCTTTGATACAGGTATCAACAGCCTCACCTAAGCTAGGGCGTATAAGTTGGATGAGATCGTCTGCTTTCGGGCTCTTTTGCTCGAGAAGAGACGATGCTTCTAGCAAGTTTGCAGCAGGCGAGTCGGAGCCAAGCCTGAAGACGTCGACCGCTTCATCTGGCACTTTTTGGATAAACTCGCATACATCGTTTGTGAGAAGGCGGATGCCATCAATGTCTGGTAGCAGGTGCACCCAGGTATCATAGTAGAACTTTGTCGCGGCGCTCCTGGGGCCAATCAGATGTACTTCATCTTCCCACGCCAGCGCAACGGCGTTTGAGCCGCACCATTCCATGTCCTTAGGGACTGTCTTGATCTTGCTGTCGTATTCGCTGAGCTTCTCGCTCCAATCACCGCTGACAACCCACACCTTGCCATCTTCTGTATAAAAGGCGAGGAACTCCGCGCGCGGACTGACGCTAATGTGTCTGAAGGGCCCAGCATCAAAGTTCCTGTCTTCAGCTTCAGTCGCGTCCACAACGTAAAGTGTTGTTCCGATGGCAAGGATGACTTCGACTGAGCGCGAGAGCGAGTATGCAGGTGGGACTATGCTCCAGGATATAATGGGGTCGGTCGGAGGAATGGCAAGGAGTTTAGGGCGCGGTTCGGTGTACGAGGTGACCGAGATGAGATGGTTGTTCCCGAGCAGCGCGACGAAGCCTGTACTATAAAACTTGCACGACACGACGCCCAGTTGGTCTGAATCATGGCCCAGTGTGAAGGGCACGAAGTCGCCCTGCAGGCCGTAGTAGCATCGCACGGTGCCGTCTGATGTGACGACAAGCAGCTTTTCGTCCTCAGACCAGCCCAAGCCCCGGATGGGTCCCTTGTCCCACTAGAGGCTGTCAGCATTGCCCATCGTAATGGTTCGCAGTTGATACTGGGGTGACGCACGTTGATGCTTCGGATCAGCTTGCCCGCGCAGCTGTAGATGTCGATGCTCGACTTGGACGGTCCTGGCCCGCGATATGTCTGTAGTTTGTCTTCATCGCGGTAGATGGCTGATGCAGTCAGCCCAGCCCCAGTGCAGGTATGCGCAGTCAATTGCAGGCAAGCGGGACATACCTACCTACAGCACCGCTATACGGCGCCCCCACCACATGGTAGTTCTCGAGCTCGAGATCCTGGTCGAAGACGGCCTGGTAGAGCTGGACTTTTCTGTAGAATTTGTCGCCGACCTTTTCCCAGTTGGCTGTTGGCTTGGACATGTTTGGTCGCGGACGTCGGGCTACCACGGCGCGAAGTGGTCGGAAGCCCGATGCGCGCCTGGTTGGAGCTTGCTTGGAGTTGCGGTCATAGCTCGAAGCACTCGCCGAGGCCTGTCACATCACATATGCACGACGTACGGAGGTGGCATTCAGCGGATTATTCGGTCCGTCTTACTTCGCAGAAATACAAACATCTTTGAATCTGGAGAAGTGTAAATGCTTGAAATATCGTGGTTTTCACTTCAAATATCCCATGGCTCCAAACACAAATCTCCCTACCCGTGCCGCAATTGTTACCTTGAAGTCACCTTTTGGAGGCAAATCAACCGCCCAAATCAGCGAAATCACAGGCGTTCCACAACGTACGATTGACGCAATCTATAGAAGAGCCTGTCAACGAGGCTTTGATCCAAATGCCCCTATGATTAAGATTCTCCCTGAGTACCTTGAAGACGCTCCTCGTGCTGGTCGCCCTCGTAAGCGAGAAGCTGTGCAGGAAGCTACCCCTGAGAAGGTATGTCATGATAGAAATGCAGGGGAGAGCGCTTGTGCTGATACAAACGTGAAGAGTCCTGAAAGAAGCGAGGAACAAGAACACCAAGCCAAGAAGCATGCCTGCGTTGACGAAGAAGATGAGGTATGGTAAGGGCGTGTGAGACGTATTTCATTCATCGTGGCACAACTATATACTACTATCTACGTTGGGATCTGTGTCGCCCGTATCAAAAGAATAACGCCGTCGCTCATGCATCCATAATCAAAGTTCATCCTGTATCCTTGTTCAACTCCATCAAGATAGCAAATTCCCTGGCCGCATTCCTTTATAGTCCATTCTCCATCATACCGGCAAGTTTCTCGTGCATTCCAAATCGTTCCACATCGCTACCAACCTTCTTGCGGAACAGGCCGAGATCTTGGAGGAATGATTCTGCCTCGTTCTGCAGCTCCTGTGCCAACTCATCGTGCTGGTCACCTTCATCGTAGCCTGAATCAGAGTCATCATCACCACTGGCCTCTGCGTCACCACCAGCTCCCATAGACCGGTCTACCTCATCTCCTTCGCCCAGCCACTCTCCGTTCTCAAAGTCTGGCGTACCGAGCTCACGCGGTGGCGGCAGGACGATAGGGTTCTTGAGCTCTCCAAGGGCAAGAGCGAGATGGCGGCGCAATGTGTCAATCTCTGCACGGAGAGCCGTATTGAGCGGACGGAGCTCTTCGACTTCCGAAGTAAGTGCTTTGATCTTTGCAGCTGAAACTTGGCGGTTCTCTTCCATAAGACGCTGCATGAGTGCAACCTGCCTCTGATACTCATCCAGCTCGGTCGCTTCTTCCCTCTTGCGCTGGCTAGCAGCATTTACGCACACCTGTAGACTTCGGATTTGTTCCGACATCTCGGCAATTTGAGCATCTCGCTGTGCAGCAGACATGCAGTCCTGGTTGACAAGAGCACGGGTACGGATGCGCTTGGCTTGGTCGGCATAGCGTAGGGTGGATAGAGTCTCGTCATAGTCGGATGGAGCTATACACGCAACCATAGCTGTCTTACTGTTACCACCAAGAGAGTCTTTGAGAAGCCAAGTCAACACCGAGTCACGGTATGGAACCACCTCGCGTGGTCGTCGCCCTTTGGCACCGTGTCGCCGGGGGTCGGCCAGGGCAGCAATGACACGACCAAGTGTCGTGAGAGACTTGTTGATTTGGGCCCCCTCTTTCAGACGAGCGCCTGTGGCTTCTGTTGACTTTGCACGTTCTGAGCCAGCAAGGTCGACCAGACGCATGCGTGCTGTACGCTCAATGGTCTCGTCTGAAAGAAGAGAATGAGTGATTTGCTTGAGGCGGATAGTGAAGACCGCGTGGGAGCGGGATGAAGTGTCGTTCATTTTAGTAGAAGCAACTGTCCGGCTCTATGCAGGTGTTAGCATGGGTTTGTAAGACAACAGAAATTGGATACGTACCATGTCGCCAATCTTCATCAGGCGCGCCACGTCGGCATAGCACTTGACTTCGGCTTCTGTCAGGCCCTGTACATAGACGCCATCCTTCTGACTCTCACGAATCTTGAGGTAGACAGGCGGGTTCGTCCTGGGCTGGAGCAAGTCACGCACATGCTCGTTGTAGACCTCAAAGTAGGATACTTGGACATGGTAGTTGGTGTTGGGTGACGGCTCATGCCTTATTCTGGCAAACAGCTCCTCGCAGGTTCGCGGAATCAGGCCTGGGTTTTCCGGCGTGCCCATCATGGTGTAACTCTTTCCCGAACCCGTCTGGCCATAGGCAAAGATGCAGGTATGGTAGCCGGCAAAGTTGTGATCCAAGAACTCCTCACCGAAAGAGCGGTATACATCCTCCTGGTGCGCATAGTGCGGGTCACTCTCGTCGTGCGACCAGTATGAGCGATCGAAGGTGAACTCCTTGTCCTCATGAAATCGGCGTCCATTGCTGTCGCTGTCTTCGGGCGCATAGAGCGTCGTCTTCTGGGTCGCTGGGTCCATTCGGATCAGGCATTTTGTGCCCTTTTCCTTTTCTGCGGCCGATCAGTATGCAACGACATGTAAAAATTGCAGGAGATCCCTACCTCTGGGAACGAAGGCCCTGCATCGCACCACGACCTTGACATTGCCCGGGTCATCGTTGGCGTTGATGGGTGTTGGTGGAGACATGTGTGCATATGAGATGTCGGCGGATGCACGCATGGAAGGTGCCGAGGCGGTTGTATGTAGCGGATACATTTTGTCGTCCAGTTGGTCTCCTATTAAGGGGCAGTAAGATCGCCAGAGCTGTTGCGACCGGTCAATGTACACCAGGTGCATAGTAGTAGTTGGTGTTGAGTTAGTGCACGGATCGCTCCTGCCATGACTCGAGGGTCAATGTTTGGGGCGTGTCAACACGCCGTTGCCGGTGCGATGACCACCACGTCACTGCTTGGCAACCCACCAGCCGCCTGTCGACATACCGTGGCGCAGCGGAAGCATACATGATGGGTCGACAATCCCTACAAGCCACATGGATCATCACGGCGGGAGTAGATGGATGAACCATGAAAGTGGTTCGGGACGTCGATGCACCGTCGGTCCCCTACTAGCAATTCGCTCAACAGAGCACTCCCTGCTCCTCACCCGTCAGCCAAATGCCCTTCTACGTCATACGGAGTAATAACAAATGTCGACTCCGGTACAAAACAAATCCAAAGTGGATGGTAGAGCATCCTCACCGACCATGGCAGCTAAATTTGGATACCGCTCTTTTCTGAGCGTCGGGCATGTTGGATGTTGTCGGGCGCGAAGACGCCGTACCTAGCGACTAAAAAATTCGCCAGCAGAGATGTGACTGGTCAGACCCAGCGCCTCTACTTGCAACGACAACAGAAATCCCACAACAGCGTTACACCGCACTGCAGGAAACGTCAGCTCTCCCCATTATACGGTTCCGCTGACGGGTCTTTCTGCCCAACATGGCCACTGCTGCAGTGCTGAGCCTATTGGATGACCACACCCGGCACGCCGCCTTTGACGCCAGCCTTGCCAAGCTCAAAGCTGCACCACATGGCATTGATATCAGCGCACTCGACATTTGCCTTCGACTCCTACCCACCAACGGATCTGATGCCGGACCCGCGAGCACCGTGCAGCACGGGCAACTGTGGGACATCGTTTTAAGCCGCCTAGCCGACGAATCATCCTCAGATCATCTTTATAAGGTCGCAGAGTTGTGTCTCAACCGCGAATCACTTGTAGCAGCTCATCTCAAGACTGGCCTTTATGATGCCCTTGCTCGATCAAGACAAGACCTTTCTGGGGATCCCGGAAAGCTCGAGTCTGCAAAGACATATCTGCATTTTCTGAAATGCTGTTTCTGGGTGCCAGGCGCAGAGGACCACATGGTGGATGTCGATACTCTTAGTTTTCTATCAGATTTTCCGGGTACTCATGGATTAGACGAGACTGCACACGAAGTCTTATCCGCTTTTTTCTCGTTGTTGAAGAACAAAAGGGGAAGTTCGCCCATCGAAATCGACCGTGTAGTCAATGAGTCATTATGGAACAAACTGAGCACTCTTGATGCGAAGCGTTTTGCTGCTAGATCAAGCAATATTTACAGAACTTGGTTTCAATGGATCTCGCTGGCCGCATCCAGTGGCCTCAAGTTCGAATGCGTAAGGAACGAACAATACTGGAAGAAACTGAGACTTGGTCTCGTCAAAGGCCATGCAGACCAGCGCAAGTACTGCCTCGGCATCATTCGACAGTCTTTCCTGGCCACAACAGATCGCATTGATACTCCAACAATGCAGTATACTGCAAGTGGCGTGGACCGAGAAAAGTACGATCTCTACTCTACCTTGTTCGAGACCATCGTCCTGCATCGCTATACTGGGCAAGTGGAAGACTCTCTCTCATCAATGACCAAATTGCTTGGATCCGCAAACGCTCTTCCATCAAAGATCACTCCGGCAATGACGACCACTTTGCTCACTGCAGCTCTTGATCCGTTAATCCAGGAGAGTGTTAGGAAGATGATTGGCCGCTGGTACATGGACTTTGTCATCCAGGTAAGCAGACTTCAACAGTGCTGATGCACAACGTGACTTAATCAAAAACTGGCTTTCAAAATAATAACTATATTCTGGTAGTGTCGTGGTGATATCAATGGCCACATACACTTTCTCTTTGACGGATTCCTCCCGTGGGCAACAGATGGGAGCCTCTTCACTTCAACACTTACTGCCACCCGAACGCAAACTATCTGTGCCCATGGAGAGGCTTTAGCCGCTGTTATCGCACGATTCGCATCTGGTACTGAAGACAGTCCATATTTTGTCCCTTCGAACGATGATAGCACGCAAGAAATCGGCGTGGATAACCGCCATGGGCGTGCCATCGTATTGGGCGTAGTTCGATTCATCATGAACGCTCGCGGCCGGTTATTTCAACCGGCGATACTGTATTTACTGAATGGTCTCATATCAGGTCTTACCGCACGATACAGCAGCTCCTCTCTGTCAGAACACCCGAATTTCGCGTCAGCCGATATTACAGAAATCCTGAGCCTTGCACGGCTTCCAGGTCTTCCTGAAGTGGCGAGCGATTTGCATAGCATCCATTGCCGGAAAATTTGCGATCTTGTCCGCCCTGACCCAGGGCCTGAGATGCTGCCAGCTGAGGAATCTCTACGTGCTCGGTGTGAAAACTTAGAAAAGCAAGTGGATCAGTCAACAACATTCTCCACCTCGGATGACACTACGCCCCTGTCACTACAAATTTTCCTGAAGGACTTACGTGAGTCAAAGCATGGCTGCATTCAGGGCCAGAGGTTTGCGCCTGCTTGCAAGACCTTAATCAAGCTGCTCGGCCATATGGACGTCAACTCTGTCGATCCAGGTGAGGTTCATACCGCCTTGGCAGCACTTTGGGAAGAGGCCGAAATCCGCGATTTCATTCGGCCATTTGCTGTTCACTTGCCACCCTTGATGTTCCACCCGGCGTGCATACACATTTGTATCACGCATCACCAAAGAAACAATGTAGAATCCGCAACAGATCTCACAAACCTTTTGTCCAAAGCCATGTCACATCTCACAAGGTTATCCAAGGGTAGGTCCTACGTACTCGCAGGACTTGCAAAATCACTACGCAAAGCTGCTTTTGCAAATCCTTCCGTCACAGGTATTCTTCCCTTTGAAGATTACATCTTAGACTTTGTAAACGATCCTGCATCCATCAAGCCAGAGTTTTTGTTCGAGGTCGTGGCTGCTGAAAGACTGCAACGATATCTGCCACATCGAACATATACCTCATATTATGGACTACGAGAATGGCATGCATACACAGCTGTCTTGGATATTCTACGGCGATTCCCTGAAGGACAGTTAGGTGTTGCCAAGAGCATTCTAAATCGCTTGCTCCAACCCTGGAAAGGTCAACAGCCACCAGTCGCCGTTAAGAGTCCCTGGAAAAAGACTCTACAGCTACAGGCAATCCTTTTATTGAGCCATCGTTGTATCAGTAATTCGGATGCTGATGCGTATCTCGATGGACTCACACATGCTCTGACACTGGAGTCATGGCCACGTTATCGTTATTTGCTCGAATGGACAATAGCTCGCATCTATCGTCAGTTCCCAGGAAAGTCTTCAAGAATTATCCAGCAGCTGCAGAACTTGGACGAGTACAGTCCTATGCACATTGCCAGCTTGATCAAACTTGGTCTTCTAGTTGCATCCTATGAGTCCGAGGTGTTTACCGGCCAGCTTATGATGCAGCTCAATGCATACTCGGCAAGTCCGAAAGTTCAGATACGCCACGAGGCGAACTTTGCATTTCCGCTAGTCTTTGATCTCGCAAAGAAAAAGGGGTGGAAGACAATCATCGAGAATCCTGCGCTCTTGGCTATGGATAACTTTATCCGACGTCTCGACAAGTTCAGTGCTTCGCCATGGACGATAAGAACCTTGAAGGTCGACATCGAAGCCGACTTCACCATGGTCGGTATTTTCCAGGGGCGGTACCTTTCAATTGAATCGCCAGAAGATGAGTTGGTTACATATGAAGATTTCCAAGAGCTTGAGTCGGACGACAAAGCGATACGTGTCGCCTGTCCCCCTGCAATCATACAGTTGGGCACTGCGCCAGGAAAGCAGAATACTAGCGATGAGCCAGCGACCGCAGCTCCTTCAGCTGTATCTAATGAAGATCCGAGCGGCCAGATCACACTACAAACCAAGGCTGGTATCGACCTAGACAACCTCCATCCAGCATCCGGTCCACCAAGCATACAAAACCGGCGTCCTGCATCAGTTATGCTTGTCGCATCCCTGATTGACAATCCCACCAACCTCGGAGGTCTTTCGCGTATATCCGAGTCTTTTGGGCTAGAGGCTCTGTACATCGATGATCTCAAGAAGGTTGCACACAAAGACTTCAAGGCTACAAGCGTAAGATCAGAGAAGCACCTTGCCATCAAGGAACTCAAAGAATTGGATGTTCCTGCATTCTTGCTGGAAGCAAAGAGCCAAGGATACGAGGTCGTGGGTATCGAACAAACAGACCGCAGCGGTATATTGGGTTACGAAGGCGTCGATGGCGCATACTTGGGTAGTGATGGTGACACTATTGAAGTTGTCCGTCGTCAAGACGTTGGAACGCTGCCCAAGAAGTGCTGCCTGGTACTCGGGAGTGAGAAAGAAGGTATCTCGGCCGAGGTGCTTGCAGTTATCGATCGCAACGTGGAAATAAAGACTGTGGGCGTGACAAGAAGTCTTAGTAAGTTCTAATTCTCCAAACCTGTGTGTGCAGTTGTGGACCACAATCTAACATCATTTTCGCAGACGTGCAGACGGCGGGCGGTATTGCGCTGTATGAGTGGTGGAGGGAGTGGGGGGAGATGTCCAATTAAAACTGGTGACGAGGGAGCGACAAAACCTTTTCACATCTGTAAACTCCAGCTCTTCATGAAGCCTCAAACCCTCGTGTATTCTCGATCCCTGGCCATGCCCCACTCACTCCTGTGAACGGTACTCACTGATCAACACTAGGCCTCTGCATCCACCTGTGGAGCTGCTGCAAGATCACTAGGCTCATACCTTTCGAGTCGGGTTAGTGTAGTCACGGAGCTGCGAAGATGAGGCAGGTGTGTTGTAGATGCACTACTGTAACAAGGACTGCAGTGAAACAGTACGCTTCCTGAAGCCTCAGAGACGTAGATTATCTTCTAGTAGACATATTGAGTGTGGGTGGTTGTGCCTGATGATGGACAAAGTTGGTCTAGGTAGCCAATGGCGATACGTACTGCTACTAAGTATGGACAGACGTACTCGGTCCAGATGCAGGACCCCGGAAAGGTAACAACGCGTCCACGTTATCACGCGTCAGGATTTTATCCCTGTCTCGAACGCCCTTATGCGTCAGGAATAATAATCTAAACGACGTAGAAGGGACACATCTAGCGTTGGTGCTGTACGACGGTGAGGCACATCTTTGCCAACTCAGGCGCGCGCGTCGAGGCATCTCGCCCCCGCCAAGCAATGTGAAACCGCGCTCAAACCCATCCTCTCCCGCACGTCTTCGAACCACCCCTACCCTCTCCCAAGATCACCAAGAAATACCCAGCCGTCACTCGCTATTATTGTGTGAGCGTGTTTCAATCAAGCAATACGACTCTCCGCTTAAGCCTTCTCCCCCGCTGAACCGAAGCTCTTACAAGCATTATTCCGTTGCAAGATCCAACGCCAAGATGGGGCTGGTACAGTCGCTGAAACGGTCCTCTCAGTGCTCCTGGTGCGCCACAATACGTGTGGAATATAATAATTGGGATTGCCCACAATGAGCCCGCGATGAACGAACCAGATTATCTTATCAAAATGCCTTTCATGAACTCCAAGGGTGCGACGACGCTCGGCCACACTTTCCGGTAAGCTATGGTGAAGCTTGGGACCATGTCTGGCTCAACGGCTAACCAAATGCAGAAACTTTGACCAAACTATCATCACCGTCAAAGTTGGTGGAAAGGAACATCCCGAGTCTTTCAGCTGCCATCGCGAACTTTTGAGGAGATGCTCGACATACTTCAACACATGCTTAGAAGAGAAGAGCAACTCGCCTTACAACTCCTCTAGTTCAACGCTTGAGCTAGAGGATACTAGTCCAGACGTCTTCGATGCATTTATGCTCTGGCTTTACACAGGGTTTATCCCGCATCACTTGATCGAAGGCGGCAAGGAAGTTCACCCTCCAACACATGCTATTAGTGTCAATGGAAGCGACAACACCAGTGCTCCACCTACAGAACAAGGCGAAGGCGATGATGTAGATACTGCTTCATGGGGCATCGCTCTAGATGACGAAACACCTGCAGATGGCGCATCAGCACCCGCCGAAGCAACGAACAGCCCAACAACAACCAGTGCAGAGAAGGTACAGGGGGAAGTTGAGGCTGAAAAGCCTCCGGTAGTACTGCCCCCTCGCAACCCCGCAGAGAAGCCCGAGATACCCAAGGAGACACTTTGTCCATGCTGTTCACGACCCTACAAATGGAGGAGTTTGGAAGGATTCCTCGAGCGCCGTTTCATATCGCTCTATGTTTTCGCGCACAAATACTCGATTCCCAAACTAAGCCGCGCTGTCATTCTCGCATGGCAAACAAACGACGAGATTCTACAAGTCATGCCCGACCACAGCAATGTCATTGCCGCATACGAGAGTCTCCCTCCAGACGCACCGCTTTGCAGGTACTTTCTCGACATGTACTCCGTGTACTGGAACCCCGATCGCGATGATGAGCGCACCATCCCTCTGCGAAGCCACCTGCCACAAGCTTTCCTATTCGAGCTAGTCACCATGCTAGCAAGAGGCGAGCGGCCAAAGATGGAAAAGGAATGGTGCGAGTTCCACGAGCACGAGAGCGAAGAAGAGAAGAAGGCCTGCCTGGATGATTTGGCCAAGGATCCTATCGCGAGCAAGGCGCTCCGACGCATCAAGGATAGCAAAGGTTGGAAGGGCCTAGTGCTCAAGAAGGGCAAGAGATGATGAGTTCACGAAATTCAGTATATCAATAGCACATGGAGGAGTTACTATCATGACCGGCGTTTGGAACTCAGCTGCAGCGCCATTTGCGTAGCTGAACGATTCATTCAATACAACATACTTTTTTTTCGCTTTCTCAAGTCATGTGCACGCCACCACCACCTTTTTCTTGTTTGCAAACATGTGATTTCACCGGCTAAAAATAAAACATTACTTCCCCATCCCCCTCCAGACTTCGTGTTAAACCTTGTGTTTTTGACACTTCAAGCTAACCGGCGAGCCGGGAACGGCAGGGAAAACACGAGATCCCATGATCAAAAAACGACGGATTCAGCTAACTAAGACTTGTGGTCTTTGTCAGCACCACCCAACTGGGATTCCCATTCTTCTAGCCACCCACACACGATCGATATTCGGTTAACTGTGCGCCTCGTGGCGCGGGAAATACGGATGTCAATTTCTTGGGTCGAGAACGCCACTTTTACCATTTGCGAAATCTGGGGTGCTTTGCGGCTAAGGCTTTTTTAGGTTTGAGCGGAAGGGTAAAAGGAGGGCTGTCAGCTTATTATTGGGAATGAAACTTTATTATCATTGGAGCCTTGTGTGCTAGCTTTCTTTTGGGTACGAGCAAGCAAAACGCTTCGATGGTTTGGGGTTCGTTGCTTGCTTTCTGTGGGTCACGGATGAGAAATTCCGAGAGAATGTTGGCAATTGGGAATTACATGGCGGTAGTAGTACTACTATGTTCCTTTGTTCGATTGTAGCTTACCACAAGACAATCTTTACGGCCCTTCCAAAGCAATTTCAAGTCTGTATGTCCGTCACGCGCAGCGGAACAGTATCGTATCTTTTTTTTTCAATAGTTTCTTCGAGGAAAAATCCATGCACCAGAGTATACGAAGAATGCGAGAATCATACCGCCACGTCCGAAGCCAGCTTGCTTCGCCCTCCAACTCCACTATCCATTTACGGGGCCTGTCAGATTTCGACTATGCAGCGGGAACCTACCGGCTCACTTACCCATAAACTACTCTGATCTTAAAATAGACATCTCACAGAATGTCACCCTACCCGCTCACGTTTATATAAACTACTTGTTTTCCAGCACCACAAACACACTCCACCCAACCATTGCTACATCCTCACCAACCCACTTCTCTCCATATCCACTCGCTCGACCACCAATTAATACCTTGTAATAATCATGAAGACCCTCACCCTCGCCCTATTCTCCCTCCTCACCCTCGCCTTTGCCGGCGAACCCGTATGCCAACAATGCGACTACCGCCCGGGCCACAACCTCTGCGACATCACGACTTCCTGCACATTCGTCTGGGGTCATGACGATCCGAGTACGCCTGCGCCGTATTATTGTGCTTGTAGGGCTGGATATCGTATGTTTGCTCTCTCTCTCTTTCCCCTTTCTTCACTCCCTCACAAAGTAAACAACCAACCTCGCAATGCTCGGCCAAGTTTTTTTTTGAGGATATGCTGGGGTGCTAACGCAATGAACAGGCGCGGATAACTGTGAGGCGGGCGATACAACGCAGCAGTTTCGTCTCCCCTGGTATGGAACGCCTGGTGGTGACCCGAGTCAGCAGGGTAGAGTGTTTGTTAAGCCGGGGACGTCGTGTAATACGCTTTGTGATGATTGGACGCTTGGTAAGGATGGGTGTAAGGCGGTGGTGGAGTTGGATTCGTGTCTTTAGAGGTGGGGTAGGTGGGAAGATTTCGGGATCTGGGGGTGTAATGGGGATTGGTGGGTTGAGAGGGATTTGTATATATTATGATGGTAGTAAGGAAATTATGATCAAAGTTGATGAGCGGTGTGGTAGTTTTGAAGTATGTATTCTGTGATTAGTGGTGATTGGTGATTCGAGCATGTTTGTGCGTAGCTTGTTGAATCTAGGATTACTCGGTGATTGGCCAGAGACTCGAGTGACGGACTCGGACTCAATTTTGATATTGGCTAAATAATATACATCCCTTTGTACCAGAACAACCGGTGTAGCGGAACACTGTTGTATAAGCAAGCTGATAGTAAGCAGAAAATCTTTATTCAAACATATTCACAAACTTCCATCGTCTCCACTCGCATATATTCTACATACAACTAGTCCTCAGGTGGAAAAATACACGCTTCATTCGTCGTCCCTGTGTCGGTGTGCATCAAGCGCGGGGCTGTCGGATGTAAAAACATCACATACCTTGGTACGCATTACAAAAGTCCTTAACAGAACTAGAGAAGCCTTCGCAGGCCGAGAGAGTAGCATTCGCGCAGCACTCGAAGACTTTCAACGAGCAAACCATACTCGTGTATATACCAAATATATTAAACTCAAAAGCTGAACTATAATTTACAATGTAATAGAAGCGGCGACTAGATGGTATCGAAGAAGAGAAACAGTGCAAAGAAAGGACAACAAGGAAAGCTTTATCTAGCCCTCTATAGCTCTAGAAGCTATTTAACTGGCACCAGATTCCAACAATAGCTTCATACTTCTATCCCAGCGTCCACGATCGAAGAGGTCGGGGGGATGATCTTGCCGCGCTTTCTCTGCTGCATATTGCAGCGCTGTTTTTCCAGACGCGTCCTTTGCATTTATCTCAATGCCGACAAGATGGACAAGATAATGCAAAGACTTCTTTGTAAGAGATCCGCTTGTCGCAGAATAGTGCAATATTGTCTTGCTCTGCAAGTCTTTCTGTGTTAGATCGACACCGTGTTCCTTTAGCATCTCGAAAACTTCGACCCTGCATCTCCAAGTCAAAGCGCCCAAGTGTCCTAGATTTTGTCCATTTTTGTCGATGAACAAAGCGTTTCCTTTGACCGAAAACAATGGTTGACAAATTTCGACATATAGTGCACCCAGACTTGGTCGTTTGAAGTAGCTTACCAACGGTGAGTTGCCAGATGCGTCCAACTCTGAACCACCTACCCCCTTGTCGAGCAGCAACTGGACTGTGTCATTCCGAACTGGACGCTTCGTAGAAACCAGGTGGTGGAGCAAGTTTCTACCCATATTATCCTTCGACGCCACTAGACTTGGCCTTGTTGTTAGAGCAGTTTCTAGAAGAACGGTGATTGTTTCATGGTTTCCGCTTATCGCAGCGTAGTGAAGAGCATTTAGCCCTTCATCATCCGTTAAGGCAGGCTCAGCTCCCAGAGAAATTAGAAAAGCAACTGCATCGTGGCTGCCAGCTTGACTAGCAAGGTGAAGTGCGCTTTGCTGTTTCAAGTTTCTTTCGAACGGATTCGCTCCTCTAGATACTAGTTTCTGAATTGCCGACACACTTCCAGGTTCTCTATAATCAACGTAGTGCAAAGGGTAGTTATGTTGACAGTCTCTGATTGTCAGACTGGTCCTAGGATCTCCAAGCAGAGCATCAAGCACACCTTCGCGGTCCATTGCTATTTTTGCACGAAATGAAACAATCTCGTCTTCTTCAAATCCCAAGTCCCATATGCTTTCTATCCTCAAGTTCTGGTTTTCCCAATCGTCGTCATAGTGTGGTCCGTACAGTTTTTCACGCAACGTGAGATGTATCGGGGATTCGTTGTATGTGGACAAAGCGTTCGGATCAGCGCCACGCTCCAGAAGGAACTTAGTCATGGTTAAGTCGCCAGTCAAGGCCGCAAAGTGTAAAGGCGTCAAGCCAGATGAAATGCCCGAAATATCGGGCCCGGACTCCGAAACCGATGATCGGGGAAAGGTGTCGGTCTTCACAGTGTTCCGAGACCACGACTTTCGATCGGCACGGGCATCAATGGACAGACCATTGTCAAGAAGCAATCCTATTATAGATTTGTGGCCGCGCTTGACGCAGTAAAGCAGTGGAGTCATGTTGTTGATATCGGTCGTGTTTTCTGGAGCGCCTCGTGAGAGCAGAAGGTCGATAAGACTAGGGTCACAATCCACGCTGTTGGTAGCATAGTGCAAAACACATTTTCCCTGGCTATCATGTCGCGAGGCATCAGCGCCGTTGTTGAGTAGAAGCTCGACAATAGCTGTATGGTTCCCAGCTACAGCTGCCTGCAGTGCATTACCGTACTCTCCGCCTTGCGCGTTGACTTCGGCGCCCTTGTCGAGCAGCAGCTCCACCATTCTTTGATGTCCAAGTTTTGCTGCAAGATGTAGGGGAGTCTGGCCCTTGCTATCTCTTCTTTCTAATATGAGCCCTGCCTCTTCTAATTGATTTAGGAGCAGGGCCTCTGATATAATAGCTAATCCGAAACGAGCTGTAAGATGCAATCCTGTGCTGTCCTTGGGATATATTTGGCTATACCCCTGACCTGTGTATTGTGGTCGTAAGAGTACCTGCACAGCGCAAGAAACCAATTCTTTGCAGGAAAGAAATGAGCAGGCTAGCTCACATATATTATCTTCCGCTGCTAACGCATGCTCTCCCCAGTGCTTCGCAGCATAGTCTAGGAGTTGGTTTTCTTAGAGCCTCTCTTCAAATTCTTCGTTAGAGGAGCAGCTCCCAGTCTTGAATATGCTGAATGATAGATACGTGAGACATGTCGAGGCTATATGTAGTTGAGCGCCTGGATTCCATGCATCTCGGATACGTTCGAAGTATTCTTAGGTAGTGTAATGCACGAGACGGATAACAGCGGTTTCCGGATCAACAACGACAAGGCCAGCACACAAAGATAGCAGGTGCTCGACATCTGGAACACCTTCTGGATCGAGTTCTGTTTCATCACGCTCCACCGCTAGGGCACAGCACAACTCCGCCGTGAGGAGCGGCCGTTTTGCGTGCGTGATCCACGACAATACTTTCTTAGCCAGCTTCTTATTTCCGTCTAGTTGACCATTTATGCGTTGAATGGCCTCGTCGTAGGCGTCGTCAATCGTAGCTGAGCCCTTCAAGAAGCGGCCTAATGTCGACTTCACTTCTCTTACTGTTTGCTTGTCCAAGAGTGAGTCTGTGTGCAGGCGGGCAAGAAGAAACCTAGATTCCCGCAAGTCAGCGCTATCTAACAGATGTAAGTAGATCACATACATGCCATCTACCGCCTTTACAAGTTCGTCTTGCACCATGACCTGCAGCGCAGGTTTACGCAGAATACACGGGGGCAGTCGGTGCATCTGGCTAGTTACATAACATCTCACGTCATCATCGCTGGCTCGTATTTCTAGTTTCATCGCCGCTTGAAACTCAGCTTCAATCTCTGGTATGAACCGCGCAGTGGCCATGATGCGAACATCTTGTTCTATTTGTAAGCCTCTGAGTTTAGTCAGAAGCTGACTACGAGTGCCATCAATATCTCGACATTCGTCCAGAGCATCGATGACAAGATAGACTGTGGAATACTTCGCAATGACTTCTTGAAGGGCGCTGAATATCTCCTCGATTGTCGGCTTTGTGCCGAGGTCGTGATGCTTCTTATGCAGTCGTTCTACAGGCTCTGCCGCTGGTGGTTGACGTTGCACCAGCTGTTTGGCGATGGCTGCCAACATCCTCGAAGTATCCTGCTCCTCCCGATCCTTGTAGTTGCAGTACACGTATGCAACTCCTATCGAGCTGCTCTGCGTAGAGTGCAACAGGTGATCGATCGCGATCGCAGCCACCATCGTCTTGCCCGCGCCAGGAATCCCTGGGCAGAATAGCGTGCCCTTGGGCTCACCGAGCCACCTTGCGAACTCGGGCGCTCCCAGAAACCACTTACCTGTCCCCTCCTGTCTGCGAGCTATGATGTCTGATTGCTGGGCTGGGTAGTTCGTAGGCGAGATCCATTCCACTATCTTCCTGCGCTTTTCATCGGCTTGATCTTGCCGAATCTGGTCAACCCCAGACTTTGTTGCTGATACGCATGTTCGAATGAAGTCGGTATCGCCTTTAATAGCTTGGGATAGTTTGCTCCTAAATGTAAGCCGCGTAAATCATGGTGCTGCTGTGAAGGCTTACAAGTGGTCCACCTGTAATGCGATCCCCACCAGATTTTTCAACCGCTCTATTTGATCTAGTATGCTAGCAATCTCCTCCCTCTTGAACTTCCATACTAGCGCTTCGACGACCTTCTTCAATCGACCCCCGTCTGTTATCTTACTCTGCAGGGTTTCCAGCGCTTGCCTAAACTGGTCGAGCGGTCCATTCTGAACTCCAAGGTCACAGACAGCCTTGTACCACGGCACATTAGCGTTTTTCTCCTCAAGGAGGAACCTCAGACTAGTAAGGAGATTGTGCACGTTCGAGGCCTCAATCGCGTACTTGGCCCGATCTTTGGGCGCATCCCTAACGTCATTGAGGTATCCAAGGACCTTCGCGGAGAGCTGGAGCACTGCAATTATGCTGGCTGTGATGCTGAGTGGATCCATACTTGGACAAGATTGCTGGAAAAAAAAAGTGCAAATGAAGAGATACTAGAGAGGAGAACGGCATCATGTAGGCAGCAGAGTTGCTAGTGTCTAGGCTGAGGGTAGCCTTGCTGCGGTTAAACAGCTGCAATGCAACGTGTTGTGCTGCGCCACATTTTATTGATAAGACCCACTGCTATGTAGGTGTAACCATGCAGCAGATTGACCACTTACCAGAACTCTTTTAATGCGGAATCTCAGTGCACAAAACTAATTCGTTTTAGATAGCAGAGTGATATTTGTGTTGCATAGACGTGGCAAGCCTTGTTTAGCGATACCTTGTAGCAAATAATTTCTGAACGTTACCTTCCGTCTACAACAAACGCCCTACAGCATTGCAGCTACGCGGGTGTTTCAGAAGCGTTTGGTGCGGAATATATCATAGTCGTTTAGATCAAAAAGATAAGTTATGTTGAGTAAGAGACAAGGCTTTACGCGAGATCAGCAACGGCGCTATAAGGCTGGTATAAATCTCGAGTCCAAGTGTGCTAACATGTAGAGGGGAAACTTCAGAATATCGCTTTGAAGCGGTCCCAGATTAACAGAAATTATGAATAACAGTTATGCGGTTTGAAGATGGAGTCTATCTTAATCTCAACACACGGTGCTTTTCTACCTATTGGGAAGGACGCTAGAAGCTATTATTTCGAAGATCAAAAGATCTCTTCGAATAACCAGCAAGTTGGAGATGAGTGCTCAAGCATATAACGCTATCCCGGATAGGGAATAACTTGTGCTGATTGTATCCTCACATCCATCGGACAAGACTGTCGAATTGTCCACTGATTTCGACTGCGTTAAGTCACAGATAATAGGAACTCTGAACATATCCTGCCTAGTCCTCCCATCAGTCACATAAACAAACTATGTATGTGCTTGAAGCTTGGATAGTCCGTTTCACTTCAAACGCTAAACTGCTTTTAGGTATTTACATAGTGAAAGCAAACGCTTTTTTCACAACGGTGCTCGACTACAGTACACAAAGTACGTTGTTTACCTCTCTCCCCCTCCTATATAAACACCATCATATCACTCCCAAATGCAATCCCCACAACTACAACCAAATCACCTTCTTTCATCACAGTACGATACCCCATTGATCCGAGAAACCACCTGGCAAAACCACGGCCATGGACTACGGGCTTGATGACCGTGACGCGGCCGACGGGCTACTCTCTCTCGCACTTGTGACGCACCTCACTCCAACTCAACCTGAGGAGCTACTAATGCCCTCCCCACTAAGCATGCGTCCACAGCCAGATGACGAAACTTCACCCGAGCCCGGCAGGCTTCGTCTTCCTTCACCTCCACCGACAAATTCCAGCAAGGAAAAATCTCAACCTATATACTCGGACTCCGACACCAGCTCGTCAATCTCCTCCGGCCCCTCATCCCCAGTCCCAGCCCCAGTAACAAATCCCACCAAGGACCAATCTCGACCTATAGACTCCGTCTCCGACACCACCTCATCACTCTCCTCAGCCCCTTCATCGCCAAACCTATCCCCAACCCCAACCCTCTCCCCCTCCGAGCAAACCGACCTCATAAGCCGCATCCACGCCGGCCTATCCTACACGCGCACCCAACAATCCCGCAACCTGCCCATAACCCAAACCACGCGCTTCACCCTCTGCCCGCAATCCGCCACCCACCGCCTCGCCCTGCACCTCTTACGCAAAAACGCCACTCTCATCTCCTCCTCCCCGACCCACGAATGCTACGAGCTCGGCATCCCGCGCCCGGACTTTGTGCGCGAAGGCGCGGTCGCGGGTGTGCATGATGCGCAGTGGTGGATGGGCAAGAGCAAGGCGGAGATTAAGGCGGGGCCGTGGGCGGATGAGGCGGAGGTGCGGGGGGCGGAAGGGCGGATTAGGGGGGTCGAGACGAGGAGGAGGAAGAGGGGGGTTGGGAAGGGGGAGAAGGAGAAGGAGTGGAAGTTGAGGGAGGGGGTTAGGCGGGCGGAGGAGGAGGAGGGGAGTGATGAGGATGAGGAGATGGAGGATGTAAAGGAGGGTGATGGTAGTGAGGAGGATGGGGAGGAGGTAGAGGAGATGGAGGCAGTGGAAGAGAATGAGGGCGAGGCGATGGAGGGCGTTGCACATGAGATTTCGGCACTTGCGACGCCTTCTTCGACGAAGTTGAGGAGTCAGGCTGGTTCCAGTGCTTCGCCTTCTACCATGCGCCTGAGGAGCCAGGGTGCTGTGGAATCTTCACCATCTTCGCCTTCATCGAGGGTCCTGAGGAGTCACAAGAAATAAGGGAGGGAGAGAACGAACATGTTTCTTTAGTTGTGTTTCTGAGTCTGGTTAGTTGAGTTACTAGGAATTTTGTTTTTTAAGGAGTTAAAAAGGGTAGGTTAAATGGGCGTTTTAGGTTCACGATCATATTAACAATGTAATTATTAAAAAAACCCCAGAAAATTTCTCATTCTGTGCAAACATGTAAAAAAAAATCAAGTCAGGTGTTGTAAAGTCAATGAGCTTTTGTATTCCAATATATACAAGCGCAGCACCGCTGCCAAAGAAGGTATAATACTTATATGCAAACAAAAAGAAGAATCAGGCCAGAACACTTCAAAGAGTAGTCCAACCCATCCGTGGTTTGTTTTTTCCCCAGATTCCAGAAGTAACCACCCCTTTTTTTATCCGTTTCTCAACATCAAAACGACACATGTCCTTCTAAGAATTTCGAGAAACGCCATCTCCGCATTTACTTGCGGAGAGACTGGCGGAAAGCACGGCTACCGCGCCTGGTCTTCTTGCTACCGCAAGGGCGCTTGGTGGTGGAAGGAGTAGCAGGGGATGGGGTAGCAGGAGTAGGCTTGGGAGCCTCCTCAGTGGGGTAATCACCACCAGCAGGGTAATCACCACCATCAGCGGGGTAGTCATCTGAAGGAGCCTGCTCAACAGGGGCGCTGCTGGGCTGGGTAACAGGGACACCGGCGGGTTGCGAGACGGGGGTAGCGGGCTTGGTAGGCTGGGGCTTGGGAGCAGGAGCAGCGGGAGTAGCCTGGGGGTTGGAGGCGACGGCAGAAGGAGAGGCAGCGGGGGATTGGGCAGGAGATTGAGCACCGCCGCTGTTGCCGCCGGTCCAGACAGTCTGCGAGGGGAAGGGGAAGTCCTTGTATCCGCCCCAGACGCTGAAGTTCCACGAGGGATCGGTCTTCTTGTAGCCACCGGGGAACTTGATCATGGGGCCTGGGACACCGGTACCGTCGCCGGTGACCTTGATCTGGGCGCAGCCGTAGTAGAACTCGGCTTGGCCGTCGTGGGCGCCGTGGACACCGACGTGCTGGGAGCGGACGAGGTATTCACCGGGAGGAGTGCCGATGGGGATGTCGAATTCAATGCTGTTCTTGTCCCAGGTGCACCAGGCGTCGCCCTTGATGTCGCCCTTGGTGCAGAGACCAACTTGCTTGATCAAGAACCAGTCACCATCACCCTCGTACTCCTTGACAGAGCCCTTAGCAAGGGACATGTGGACGTGGCCTGGGCCTGGGTGCTTCATGGTGGCGCCGACACCAAGCTTCATGGCCAGCTTGGTTCCAGGCTTAACCTCAGCGACGCCGGTGCGGCCGGCAGAGGCGAAAGCACCCTTGTTGCAGCGGAAGTCGGTGTCATCAGGGGTGATGTTGTCGAGAGGGTTCTTCCACTTGGTGGGGTTGTACTTGATAGCACGAGTGTTCTCACGAACGAACTCGTAAGGCTTGGACTCGACGCCATCAATGACAAGGAGCTCGAAGAAGTAGTGGGCGGAAGCGATCTGCGCAATGGCAGCAGCGGCGAGGAGTGAAAGCTTCATGTTGAGTTGAGGTTGAGATTGGGGTTGGTGATGTTGTTTGTCGTTGTTTTGAACTTGGACTGGAAAGTGAAAAGGATTGTATGGAAGGACTAGCCTTGAGAAACGAATGAAGTAGCGAAAGACTGTGGAGAAGCGAAAGAAGGTTGGCAGTGAAGTGCTGGTGAGGCTTCAGGGACGTTCTACACGACTTCTTATGTATCTCGTCACTTGCCTCTGTTCAACGCCTCGGTCAAGCTCGCTAACTCTTTCTGGCTCCCATGCACTCCAACCCGCCCCTCGGTGTCGAGCACTTCTTTACCATAGTGCCTTAGGCGCATGAGGGTTTGTTTCCTTGGCGGCAATCTCGACCCGCCGTGCCCGCTTGTCTGTGGCGAAGCGAAATGACAACATGGGCCGTAGGAGCTGATTGTAGTGGTGTTCGGTACCTTGGCGCCTGTTTAGCGGAACCAGGTTACCGGGGGCGTGGGTCTGGCAGCAGAAAATACCAGGCCCGTCAGTGTTTCAAACGGCCTTGATGGCGTTCAGTTACTTGGCGTTCGGTTACTTGGCGTTCGGGGCGTCTGTCATTAGTGAAGATAGTGTAAGCCGTTACACACGCCTCCAAACGTCTATGCGTCACTGAGCAGACTGCGGAACGAGGCGTTTACGAGGCTTGATGGACCCGTCTGTCCAAACTAGGCTTGTTTGTACGAGAAGAAACACGCGATGGTGTTTTCCACCAGTCAGTTTTGTTTCGTGGGGCGAGCAATTGCCCAAGCATTTTTCCCATACGTGCAACGTTTGATGCTACGAAATGACGGGGATAACGCATTACAACACTTACCAGCAACCTGGCCGAGCGGATCCGGGTTGCACGACGGTATTGCACAGCATCACCGAGCCTCTACATGGTGTTCAACGCCCTTCGTATGCGCGCGCATGGGTGTGTGATAGCAGGGGAAAGAGATTGGCGACGTCGAGCACAACGGGGGAATGGAGGAATAGGATGGGCACTGGACATAAGCGTGAGCATACGTCAAAAGCCTTATGTAGTCGCTTTGTTATAGGCATGTATAGAAGATTTGCGATGTCCTTGAGCACAATTGCGTTATTTGGAGCTGTTAAGACGCCCTCTGCAAGCAACTGGACCAGTGTGCAGCGATGAGGCCCAAGGGGTGGCCGCTTGGGTTTCTCGGTTTGGCAGGCGCGCGACTCCTGGATCAGAGCCGGCACGCTAGTCCCGCCGCTAGCGCCGCCCCACGTTGTCCAAAATGGGTACACGTCTAGAACAATAGTATTTAGCGTGTTTCCGATCCCGTGGCTTGTTTCAGAGCCGATGCTTGGCAAAACATCCGCCGAATACAGACAGACAGACGTTTTGCAGTTCTCTCCATATTCAGGTCTGATTGTGTCAGCGGAGAAGTGCGGAATGCCAGGCTGAAGCTGATAGGCCAGGTAGACCACGATTACAGTAAGTATCGCCAGGAGGTGTAGACGGACCAGCAGCGGGTTGAGTGACATCGGGCACATGGTTTCGTACGACTTCAATCTGGGCCAAGAAAATAGATTGCTGTTTGATAAGCTTGGTTCATGCAAGATAGACTCATTGTGTGGAGTGCAGGATCCCATGCATCGCACCCACTTGTCATCCTATCCTGTAGCCAATCCGAAAGGCACTCTCGTCGCGTAAACCTACCCTCAAGTGGTCGAAGATACGGGTGACGGGACGTGCAGGTGCTTGGCATCAGCAAATCCTATATTGACGGCGTACAGATAAAAACGGCGCCACAATGCACTGACCCACAAGGCGGGCATCGACGCTGTATGGATGGAAATAGTAAATGCACACTGAGGGGTTCAAAGGTATTGAGTCTTGGTATTGCATCATTTACGGCTGGACTGCGTGTCGTGAACGGCAGTACTTGTCTCGTATGTCCTAGGTTATGCTGGTGGTAGCCCCGCGGCGTATAATCTCATGTCGTCTCATTAGAGTTGTGTATGATTGCATTTGAGAACAAGTCTCTATACTATCACGCCACACTCTCCTTTTGCAAAACGGCCCAAAACGGCCCAAAACGAAACCCGTTGAGCAGCAAAAAGAAAAAAAGGAGAAGAGAATACACGACAACCCCTGATGAGCTCCTTAGTCTTGCATCAGTCACCACTGTTTCTCAGCTCCAATAGAATAGGCAAACATGAGCAATACCGCTTTTCTGCATTAAGCATTTTTCCCGTTACTCAGAAACACCTACTAATGCATCGCGATTCAACAAAACATCTTTCCCGTTCAACAGCAACTAACGTTTACTCGTCATCCTTTTCCGCCTTCTTCTCCCTCCATGCCTCCTCCAGCTTCTTCACCTTCTCAACACCCTTCTTGTTCCCCACGCTGTTTTCCCACTCTGCCCACTTCTTGAACACACCCCTAATCCTCGACGACTTGCCCACCTTGGTCATCCTCTCGAACAAATCTCGGACCTTGTCAGCCTCACCGTGGCTCTGCTCAAGCATCAGATACATGTCCCATACATCTCCCTTCTTGGCAAAGGTGTCGACGAGTCCCTCGAAAATGGTGCGGCCGCGCTCGGTATCACCATTGGGCGACTTGAATTCCAGCGCGGCAAACTTTTGAGTAAGATACCGGTGTTGAGGGGCTGCAACAGATTGTGTGGCGCGTTGAAGAAGGGCGCGGGCCCGACCTGGAGATGGTGGCTGGATAACGTCCATGAGAAATGCGGCGTAGGAAAGCCAGAATTTCGGGTCGGCTGTGAACGACTTGTTCTTCATCATGGATTGATAAAGCTCATCTGCTTTCTGTCATGGTGTTAGCAAAATCTGCAAAAGACGATCGGGAATCTTAGATACTCACGTCAATCTTGCCCGATGAAATGTAAATCTTGATCATGCGCTCGTGAATTTCGCGGTCATCGTTGTTTTGACATGCTTCCTTGAAGACCGCGTTGATTGCATCGTCACTGGAGAAGTCGTTTTCCAAGTGCAGCAAGGCCGTCCAGACATCAAGCTTCTCCTTCTCCTCTCGTGGGTTGATGGTGGCCAGCGCACGACGGGCAATCTGGCGCGCCTTCTCAATCTCGTTAAGCTCGCGCTGGAATACCATATAGCGTACCCACAGCTCGGCGCTGTTAGGCTGTCCGAGGAGTAAGCGTTCGTAATCTGCGACAGACTGAGGGCCATAGGCATCAAGGTCACCAGTGCGATCTTCCTTGATGGTGGCCTTCTTGCTCTTCTTTTTCTTCTTTGGAGCATCATCCTCGGACTCGGATTCAGCCGCACCCTTTTGCTGATCAAAGTCGAGGGTGGCACCCGTCCAATCGAAGCCAGAAGTGCTGAGGCCCTTTGCAGTTGCTTTTGACTCGTCGTCGTCAGACTCGTCTTCAGAGCTATCTGCGTCGGCAAGCTCAATATTATCATCGCTTTCTGCGCTCTTGACGCTCCTCATATCAACATCATCGTCGAGCTCAACTCCTCCCTCCGAATCGTCGTCCTCCGATTGCTCAACATCCGAGGCGTCCTCCATCTCCTCATCTTCGCCTTCGCCTTCGCCCTTCACCTGTGAATACTTCAACGTAAAGCTGACCTTCCTCGACTTGGGGTCAAGCTTGATGACTTTAGCCTTGACAACATCATCCTTCTTGTACATATCCTTGAGCTTCTCCTTATCAACAACAGCATCTGCTATTTGAGAGATGTGGCAAAGACCGCTGACATTGTTCGAGTTGTCGACAATGAGGAAGACGCCATAGTCCTCTACATGCCTGACCTTGGCAGTGACGATTTGGCCAATCTTTAGGGTAGCAAATTCCAAGGGCTCGACGTAGTCTGTCTTGATGACTGAAGTCTTCAGACTCAGCTGTGGGTTGCGTTGATCTTCCTTGTTCGAGATGACCTTGCCGGTCACGAGCTGATCCACATGGAATGCACTCTTCCAATCTTTAATGTACTCGTCTGAAAGGTGACTGACGCGGACATAGGCTTCAACATGTGGACCTAGACGGACGTAGACACCGTTGTTTGCAATGTGCTTGACGAAGCCACGGACGACTTGGTTCACCTTGAGCTGTGTACGATCGGTGATTTCAGGATCCTTGACTGGCAATGAAGAGCTCAGGACCCTGGAAGGCCTGGCCGACAATCCTAGCTTCTTGTTTGGAATGTCAATGTCAATAACGCACACTCGCAAGACATCGCCAACCACAAAATTCTTCGGCTGAGCTTTGTCGTAGTCATCTGCCAACTGCTCCATGAAGATGGGTGCAGCGATGCTTTCATTGATTTGGACAACAATTGATGCATCGTGCAGCTTGGTCACACGTGCGGGTAGGACGTGACCGACTTTCAGGTCTTGGAGAGACAGTGATTTTCCGGTCACTGTAGATGCAGCTGTCAAGTCTAGCTTTCCATTCGCAGCATCCACTGCCTTTACACGGACTTTGAGAGAAGAACCCACGGGAAAGTTCTTCTCAACATCAGATAGCTTCTCAAGATCGTCAGTTAGGTCGAAGAAGTCGATGCGCCCGCGGATGTTGGCTGAGATGTTCACCCAGACATGGCGGTCGGCAATGTTGTTAATGAAAGCAATGTGAGATGAGCCGACCGTAACTTTGTCGAGGCTCAACACATCCGCTTCTGACTTGATCTCCTTCGTCCTCGCGGTCATTTCGTATGTTGTCGTCTTGTTACTTGACCGAGATGTGATTGGGAGGAAACGGAAATTGCGAGGATCATGCCTTCCCAAAACCCGAGCCTGGATGGTATCATTCATCTTGAAGTGTGCAGTTGGTCGCTTCTTGTCAGGAATGCTATCCCAGTTTTCGAACAGTTCCGATACAGAAATGCGACCAGGAACATTTGCGGCAAGCTCAACGTTGAGTTGTGTGTCCTTGACTGACCGGACACGGACGGTCATCAGAGTACCAAACTTGATGTCGTCGGTAGATGTCATTTTAGGGTCCACAGGGTCAACCAGAGGCTCTGCTACCTTTACTGGAGGGGCAGCAGCAGCCTTTGCTGAAGCAGCTTCAGCTTCAGACCTCATCGACAACCAAAAGAGTCCCTTTCCGGCATCTACATGCGTAACTCGGGCAGTGATGGATTGGTCCTTGCGGAGGCCAAAGTCGGGCGCCGCAGCCATGTCTTCTGGTAACTGCGATCTGAACAGTGCACCGCTGATGCCATTGCCAAGCTCAACAAAGACCTTGTCTGAGAGGATACCGCGCACGAATCCATGCACAGTCTCACCCGCTTGCAGATCCTCAATACTGATGGCAAGTTTTGAGGCCTGTGCGTCTTTTCGAAGACTAGGTTTGTTGGATACGGTCGCCGTTTTGGATTTGCCATGCTTGGTGAGAACCACGAGATCTTCCAAAGTTCCACCAACGCGAATCTTCTTCATGGTCGAGATGTCCTTCTTCTCTGATCCGTCAGTCAGATGACCAAGGCGAAGAATGCCCTTGACACCATTGCCAATGTCCAGAGTGGCCGATTCGTCAGACTTTTCAATGACCGTTCCTTTGACGATTCCACCGGGGTTGAGAGCATTAAAGGCGGCTTCCTTGTTGGTATCAACAGCAGCAGGATCCTTGCAGGACACCAAGAGCTGACGTTCTTTTGCGTCAACAGAGAGGACACGCACGTTGACAACCTGCCCAGCATGAAAGTGTCGTGTTGCGTCATGAATGAATGCCTCGCTCATCTCCGCGACTGGAAGCCATGCCTTTACACGGTTGTAAAACTGCACGGTGGCACCATTACGGCGGACACTGACCAAAATTCCAGGGCCAGTGGCACCTTCTGAAATCATATCGTAGTTTGTCCAAGGCTTTACCTCGGAGTTGACCAATGACTTCTTGAGGGTAAGGTGTATTTGGTGTCTCGCGGGTTCGGTGTAGAGCACTCGAGCCGTGACCGGTAGTCCTTCCCTAAACTTGCGTTCTGGATGTTGCAATCGGACATCAGCGAGGTGCATCTCTTGAACCAGACCAGTAATGCCATCAGCCAGATGGACAAGAACAGCGGTTGCTCCAGACTTGTCTGCGAAAAGCTTGTGCACCTTGCCCTTGACAACTTCACCAGCTTTGATGTCCTCAATGCGGAGAAAGGGTTGGTCAATGACCTTCTTCTCAAGGGACAGCTGGAAAATTCCGTCAAGAGCGTTGTAGCCAACAATTCTTGCCTTGTGGTTCGAGTCAAGTTTGAATGCACCAGCCTCCTCTGAGAGAATATCGACTTTGTCGTCTGAGAGTCGCGAGATGTGGGCGAAGCCGACAACATCTTTGATTCCAAGGTCGAAGAATGCACCTTGGCTTGGTGCCACCTTAACGACCTTGGCGCTTTCAACAATGGTGGAAATTGGCAGCAGGTCGATCGGAGGCTTGCGCTCCTTGGGTTTTCCAGACATGCGCGTAGACAACGAAAGCACATGGTCTAGTAAAGACACGCCGACCTTCCTGGGGTCTGAGCCAGGACATGTGAATAAAACACGGGCCTTTACTTTGGATCCGATTTTGTGCTTTTGAGACACGTCGGTGGCCTTCTCAGTCGCGCCGGAGTGGTATGCGTCAGCCGTCGCATCTATCAAGCCCAGAATCTTGCCCGTGATTGTGTTTGGCGTGTTTTCTGTAACGAGAAGGTCGACCGCAGTTCCCGGGAGGAATACGTCAATGGTAGGTGCTTCTGTCAAGGTATTGCCCTTGGTCAGGTTTCCCGCCTTGGTGTGGTCGGCAGAGAGCTTGACGATGCGCCCGTCAGAGTTGAGCCCGGTAACCAGGCACATGAAGACGGCACCCTCTTGGACTTTTGAATGCTGTAGGTTTGGACCAAGCTCGCCCTTTGGTAAAAAGCCCTTTAATGTGGCATCGTTCAAACCCAGATCCATGACCAGACCGTGGTCCTCATTGCTCACGACAGACGCTTGTATCATGCCATTGACAGGTATTTTGCGCTTTGTAAGGCCCGTGTTGACCAGCTTGGGCTCAATTGACAGTTCGAGTCGCTTCCTTGCCTTTGCGCCTTCGCTGCTGGTTGCGGTGATGCATGCACGAAGGTACTGGCCAACGGAGAAGAGCTCCCTGAGGTCAACATCCTCAAAGTCATCCTTGTCACTTCCATCTTCCTTGTCACTCTCATCTTCTTTGAGGAGCTTCTCTAGTCTCTCGTTGAGTTTGTCGGACACGGCAGTGAGGGGAACGTAGCCGACTAGATTGTTAGGGAGGGCAAGCACAAGGTCTTGGTGGGAAATGTCGGTGATCTGACCAAGTACAATAGTTCCAGGCGACAGTTTCTGGGTATGATCAGTCTAGCGCCGAAGCTGCGCAGCATTTTTCTTACCTTGTAGCTGAGAGTCTCGACCTTTACCACATCCTCCTTGTCGCCGCTCTCGTGTGTCTTTTTGCTCTTCTTAGTCATCTTCTTCTTTGACTTGGGCGCAGACTTTTTCTCATCGTCCTCGGAGCCCATGTCGCTGTATCCTTCGCCATCATCGCCGCCGGGACGCTTCTGGCCGGTTTGCTCGAAAAGAACATCCTGGTTCGCCTTTATCTGAATTTGCTTGTGTTCGAGTGGAGTCAAGACACTGGCGCCTCCTCTGGGAAACGACCTCTTCTCTTCATCCTTGAAAATGCTGGTTGGTGGTGCAGGGTTCTCAAGCTTCGCCTTTGCAGGCGATTGCTGGTCGACATCGGACTTGCGCCGCTTCGCTGATCGGTCGCCGGATGCGCCCTTGGGCTTTTTGGACGGGGTGGCGCCCTGCTCTGCTTTCCGCTTGACCGCGCCCATTGTGTGGTGTGGGATGTGTGCGGGCGTAGAGAGGGTCGAGTGGTGAAGATTCCGCCAAGAGTTCGAAGCGCAATGTTCTTCGACTTTTTTTGGTGGGTCCATGCGCCCAGGTTCTCCCACCAACCGCGCCAGCAGGGACGCCGCGCCTCTCACACCCTCGATGACGAGATGGCACGCGACGCCTCAACGACGCTGCTGAGTGACCATGGTGTCAATTTTTGGGATACAGATGAGTTGGAGCATTGCGACAAATATGCACTCACTCTCCGTGCTTCAGACACGCCTCACTGCCGTGCATTGCCAGTGAAAAGGGTGCGTTTGGAAGGAACGCCAGGCCACTTAAGGCCCAAAAGGGCATAGCGGTGCACGTCAGTCGCGCCTGCTCTTCGCGACGTGCGCAGGTCGTGCACCTTCCTCTCCAACCTCGCCGGACGTATCATATGAGCATTCGTCCCATATCGGGGTCGCTCCTTCCTGGCTGCCCGCGTGTGTTCACTTGAGCTGTGCATTGGTGTCTCTCTCTCCCATACTCCCACCCCTTCTCAACACCATGTCGTCGCCCTGCGCCCCTCGCAGCATGCTCCTCCAAGAGCCCACTCCAGAGCTCTTCTCATCGCCGCCTCCCGCTTCATCCGCAGCAGCCTGCTCACGGAAGCCCAAACGGCCGCCTCCTATCACTCCCAAGCGCTTCACTCGCTTCTTCACACCCCGACACTCCAAAGATGTCTCTTCGCGCACTTCGCTCTCACGCTCGGGCCGTCAGTTACAGGACATCACCCGGTCAGCTCTGAACCGTGGCCGGGCAACGCGAAGTACCCCCCGAAAAACAGTCAACTTTGTCGACATTGAGAATCAGATGCGCACCCCTCAGAGCAGTCGCAAGCGGAAACCCTATCTGTCGCCTGAAAGTTCACCTGCCCAGTCGTCGCCCTCGAAACGATCTCGTTACGTCACCCCTCCAGCACTCGATGCACCAGCTTTTGATGTACTCGACGACTTGGCTGACCTGGATGAACCCGCCGTATATCCCACACCCATTCGACGGCTGAAGCAACTGGGAGGACCGTCAAGAACATTGCAACGGTCATTTGGTGGCGTCGTGGGTGTAGGCCGAGGGTTTCGAAGAGACCATGGTGCGTCATGGCAGGACCAGACGGCCAACTTCTACAGTAGTTCAGACGACCTTCATCAGCTACCCCAAGACGCCCCGCCATTCTGTACCGCCAGCTGCAATAGTGAGTTTCATATACTGCAAACATCGTCATGATACTAACCTGTTCCAGCCAACTCTTTGCTTGCCATTGGAGATGAAGATGGGAACATCCACCTGTTAGATTCCGAGGGTGACTTTTCCAAAGCACATTTATCGTGGAAAGCTCATTCCAACGCCATCATGGACCTGCAATTCTCCTCTGACGACTCTCATCTGGCAGCAGGGTCTGGTGACCAAACTGCACAGATTGTCGATGTTCGTACGCAGCAGACTCTTGCTGTACTGGCCAAACACAAGTCATCAGTAAAGCAAGTGCGTTTCCAACCGGGTGATGACAAGATCGTAGCGACATCAAGCCGAGATGGTGCTGTGCAGATTTGGGACCTCCGATGCAAAGGCAACCAAGGGTCGATACATTCAGCCTGGGGGTCAGATGCCCCATATGCCAGCGTCGTCCGAACCCTTGCTTCAGCACATGCCGACATCAGCCTACCGTCATCCGCGCTCTCTGCTACCCGAACTACATCGAGCAGCAAGGTAGAGAGCATCAATCGTCGAAACGACATCTCGGTTACTGCTCTCACTTTCTTACCCGAAGGTCGCGAGCATTTGCTTTTGACTGCCTCGGATGCTTCCACATGCGTCAAGCTCTGGGACATCAGAGGTCGATACTCTCTGCGAGGCCCAGCCATCCCCATTGCGACTACACGACACCCCGAATCCCACAACCGCCACCGACACTTTGCCATCAACTCACTTACCCTTAGTGGCGACGCATCCCGACTCTACGCGTTAAGCAAGGATAACACTGTTTATGCTTATTCCACAAACCACCTCATCCTTGGTGTAGCTCCTGAACTCTCTTCGACATCCGCATCGAAACAAAAATACTGCGGTGTTGGCCAAGAAGGTCTTGGGCCCATCTACGGCTTCCGTCACCAGAGCTTCCACGCTGGTTCATTCTATGTCAAGGCATCTTTGCGAAAGACTTGCAACGACCAGACGGAGATGCTCGCAGTTGGCAGCACAGACGGCGGTCCGGTATTGTTCCCTACTGATGAAACATTTCTCAAGCGCGAAATCCGGCACGACGACGACGACACAGATGACCTCCCGGACATTACTGCCCTTACCGGAAAATCCTCTAGACTATTGCTATCCCGTTCAACTACCAACAGCCGTTGTCCAGACACGATTCCTATCTACGAGCATGGGACAGCTCTTGTACGAGGCCACGACGCCGAAGTCACCAGTGTTTCGTGGGCACGCAACGGTAGCTTGATCAGCGTAAGCGATGACTTCCGCGTGCGAAGGTGGAAAGAGGGGCCCCAGGCGAGGGAGCTCAGGACGGGCGGGGAGAGCGAGGGAAGAAGATGGCAATGCGGATGGGCTGCTGTTGGAGAAGATTACGACGACGATGATGAATAGTATAGGAAGAAGTGTTGCAGTTTTCCGCGCCATTTTGTTTATTATACCCCCTTTTTTTCCATCCATGTCGATGTTTGTATAGCGAAAAACGAAAGCGATGAATACTGTATTCTTTGATAGTAGATAGTTGATTAAAAACAAAATAAATGTAAAGGTTTCAAATCATTTCGTCTGTAGTTCTTGTATTCACACACACTATCACTACTATATACACTTGCTCTTCACCACGAGAACGTAATCTCACTCTCAGACTCTTCCCCTTCCATCCCATCTCCCCCTTTATCCACCTCCTATCATCTCCCTAACCACTCCACACCTTCGGTCCCGGGCACGTATACGTAGTCTGCGAGCTACTATACGTATCGACCATGATACCGGGATCATTCTGCGACGCATACCCAGGAATCGTAGCCAGGTAATCGCCACTCGGCGACGCGGAGCCACCGCCTGTAACTTCGATCTGGGCGCACTCGGCGTAAAATTGCGGGCTGCGTGCTTGGTGCAGAGCGAGCAGCTCGTGGCGGACGAGGTAGTTGCCTGCGAGGAGGGTGGCGGGGACGGTGGATTCCCAGTAGAGGTTCTTGAGCACGAAGGCGGTGCCCCAGTTGCGGCCGGAGAGGGGTGGGGCGGTCATGCCTTGTTGGTCGATCTGAAAAGGTTTTGATGTTAGCCTTTCTCTACTTTTTCTTTTTCTTTTTCCTTTCCAACTTAAGATTTTGGATATAAGGGGGAGGGGGTGTTGGCATGGGTGAAGGGGGAGGTGAAGGAATTACCTTGAACCACTTCTTTCCACTTCCATCACACGACTTGAAGTCGCCGGAGCACTTGTACATCCAGACCATGACGGGGCCTTGCTCGTGGGTCCACTGCTTCCAGATTGCGCGGATCTTGCCGCCGGCTTTTACCTTTGCGACGAGGTCAGCGGAGGTGCCGCCGTTGCACATGACTTTGGAGTCTGTGACGCTCATGGTGGGGTTGTAGTCGGGCCATTGGCGTTGGATGGTTTTTGGGGAGGAGGCGGGGGAGAAGCCTTCGTAGCTGGGGGGGTCGGAGTGTTAGTCTTGTTGGCTATGAAGGGGAGTGCGGAGGAAGAAGGCGGTAGTGATGGTGGTGTAGTTACCCTGGGTATGTCACGCCGTCGATAACATAGCTAGTGACTGCACCATGGGCAGCAGCCTGAGCAGCCAGGAGCGCCGTAGGCAGGAAGATGTTGGAAAACAACATGTTGAGTCGATAGTAGTTAGTTTGTTCTTCGTCTTCAACACTATCTCATACTCCTTCTCTTCAGTTTGCACGCCAGCCTCCCCTCTTATATACACTCACCCTCGAATAATACACCATCAAAATCAAACCTCTCCCTATATCACTCTCCCATTATCCCCACATGACCAACTTACCTACCCACTCATCTCCAGCTCCCCTCCTCCCTTCCACGGACTCCACCGTCCACCCTTCGCCCCCCTCCACCATCGCCCCATCAGAGATACGATAGCACAATTGACCCCGCAATAATAAACGACTGGCCCCCCAATCTACGCTCTCTACTTGCCATCGGCCCGGCTAAAAGCAAAAGCTAGCTGTACAAGCAATATACATGTTTCCCCGCTAGAGCCCAGCCAAGAGGCACGGAGACAGAGCCTCCATGCCGGCTCTTGTTTGGTTTTCTTTGCACCATAATCCCGAGCTGGATCGGGAAATAAGCAATGTAGAAGTCAGCGATCGGAACAAGACCAAAGAAAACAGCCCAGTTTAAACCTATTACCCCGGATTTGTATCAATTCGGAAGGTTGTTATTTAATTTAGGGGCGTGTGGTGCATAGTGCAGATAAGAAGTGTAATGACGCGTGACGGAAAAGCGCTGTGTGATCTGGGGAAGCGATGCTGGATTGTTACTACTATATGTTAGATGGCGGAGTGCGGGCCGCGAGCGCGAGGCTGTGGGGTTCGAGTCGTGGACCTCTTGATGTTTTGGGAGCGGAACGGTTGGGTAGTTGTGGTTTATACAAAACTTGAATTTGGCAACAGCGATTTATTTGCAGTAGATTGGCCAAGGCTAAGGGGGTCTTGGAAATGCTTTTGGCGAGTTGTTGGATGGGAGATTATACTCGACTTCATCGCCGGGTATAACTGTATCGTGGTTGAGTGATCAAGGTTAGAAAAATGTAGGTAGTCAGCGCGATCGAGAAAACATGATGACTGCTTTTGTGATATGTCCAAATCTGATTAATTGCATCGCGAGACACGTGGTGCATTCGGACGCCTGAGATAATATATTCCTGGTGATAGTAATGACGAGGAGACAGCCTTACCGAGTTGCGAGTTGTGAGACATTACCGGACGCTAAGGAGATACGCTAACCCATTCTCGACCTGCATGCATGCATTCTTATTCTTTGCCAAAAGGGGAATTACTGGGCGCTAGAAGTAATTACGTCAGTGCTCTAATTCAGCAAATAAGAACATGCGAGGACGACCAGCAAATAAGAGTGTTCAGAATAAGATATTTCATAGCAATCAAAACGACAGTGACCTTGGGCACGGTCTGGTATCTCTCGCCCCTTGAAACCCACAAAGCATCAACTCCATCTAGTACCAACATCCACAAATCACAACATATCCAACCTCACTTAAAAGTGCTTGGTTGGAGCATCCTCCTTGACGCCTTTCCCACTGCCCCCATGCATGACTTCCTCATCATATCGCTCCCCATCATCGCTATGATACGCAACACTGACATCCGTAATCTCATCTCCGACCTCCATCCAGACATCGCTCGTAGCAGGGATGGGGCTGATCTTGCAAAGTACCCAGTATGTGATGCTGGCAACCAAGAATCCAGTAAAGAAGTTGAGATCGTAGATGCGTTGGGCTCCAATGGGAACCTTGCGGCCAACGGCACCGGCGAAACCAACCACGTTGATGGCGACACCTGCAATGTAAGCGGCGTAACCGCGCCAGTGGAAACCGAGGGTGTAGTAGTATGGACCAGTTTTCTTGCCAGAGTAAAGATCCTTAATTTGGAAGAAGCCCTTACGCACAACGTAGTAGTCGCAGATCATGACGCCTGCAATCGAGGAGAGAAAGACGGAGTATGCGGAGAGATAGGTGGTGAAGCTGTTGGTGTCGGCGAGGAGGTTCCATGGGCACATGACAAGACCGACAAGCGCACAAATGTAACCGCCGCGTCTAATGCTGATCCAGCGTGGCGCAAGAGCCGTCATGTCAGTGCCGGCGGAGATTGAGTTTGCCGCAATGTTGGTACCGAGTTGTGCGAGGGTAAAGGCAGCAGCAATGACAAAGACACCGAAACGTTGACCTGATCCTCCCTCGTTGAGAAACTGCTCGAGCAGGTCCAGTGGGTTCCAGATGGCTTTTCCGAAAATGACGGTCGAAGAAGACGATACAATGATACCGATGAAGGAGGTGATTGCGAATCCGATAGGAATAGTAAGCAGCTGCGGTAGAAAGGCATCTGAAGGCTTTCTCGCAAAACGTGAAAAATCGGGGTCGTTTACGATCAAAGTAGCGAAATTGGCAATGGCGCTCATGATGCCTTTGACCATGAGCCAGCCCAGCTCAGATCCTTTGGCTTCACTAGGTTGCTTAACGATAGGACCCAGTCCCTTTGCTCGTACAATCGCCCAGATGAAAAAGGCAATTCCTGCAGTAGGTGCGAAGAAGGCCTTGACGGTGAACAAATGGCGAATCTTGTGAACTGGTGGATAGATGAACGGGAGGGATCCGGCCCAGAAAAGGAAGAAAGAGACGAATGCGACAGTGTTGGTGCCAGAATTGGGGATGCCATTGGCAATGCCTCCTCCTCCAGGAGTGTCGGCCTAGAAAAGAAAAGTTAGTCAAAAAGTAAAAAAATTGGCAAAGGGAGTTTACATTTCGCCAGTTGTTCCAGATAGCTCGGATCATCAGGCGCACACATGTTCCGCCAATCCATCCTTGCACACCATACCAGATACTGGCCATAGCTGCGCGATTGAACACAGGCCATAGCGCGCCCCAAATGCCGAAAGACGCGCGATTAACAACGGGAAACGAAATGTGATATGTCGCGCCGATACGACCTGTCATGCAGACAAAGCAAGCCGCAATCGAGTATCCGAGCTATTATTTGAGTCAGCGTGTGTTATCGCAGGAAGATCGCAAAATTCCCTACCCAAACGCAAATCCATGATTGCCACCAGGAAAGCCCGTCGACAATGTTGGCGGAAGAAATCATCCATGTGTTGATGTTGAAGGAGTCGGCTGTGGGGGAATTAGCCTATGATAATTGACATTGTCGCGTGAGGCAAGATGACGTACCAACCCAAAAACCGACGAAATTCCATGCGCCCCATTGTCGGCGCTCAGGTTCAACCTGGAGATGTTAGAAAACAAAGCATCTCCAAAGCAATGGCCAGAACATACAGGCTTCAGATCGTGGTTGTACAGCATGAGCTGGGCCGTGGTGAGGCCAGGCTCGCTCTCGACAGCGAGCTTGTTGGCCCAATGGGCGACCTTTGACTTCTTGACCTTTTCCATGATGCGATTTGCGAAAAACGGTTCGTCGCTGGAATGAAAAACTGTCGCGGCCACTACAGGCCTTAAGAAGCTTTCGCTCCGGCTGCTCGAGGCCGTAGCTTGGTATGGATCAAGATCCCCGCTTGTGTGACGTGGGGGTTTATCAGAAGCGAGTGAAGGTCTGGGTGCGTCTCCGCCTGAAGAGGGTTGGGGTAAAAGTGGCTGCCGTTCGGGATCCACGGTGGCTGATTTCCGCGGAACGGGTAAGACTATGGAAAAGGGAAAAAAAAGGATGTCTAATGTTTGCTCTAGGATACTCTCTACGAAGACGAGCCTCGATCTTGACTGCAGGTAGATCTTAAAACCGGGGCGTGGCCCATCTTAAATGCTGGGGAGGATCACAAGGCAACACATGAAGCATCTAAGATCGTCTCTGTGATTAGCTACCATTGCTGTTCTCGTTGGTGTGGGAGAGACCGTTGTCGGCAGTCTTATCTTAGACTCGAGATAGCCCACGCGATGTGCTCCACCTAACTCTGTGATGCTCGAGTAGCGTCACTGGCCCACTCGATACCCTCGCATAAGAGGCCCTGGTGATACAGACCAGCTGAACGCATGCGGTCCAAGAGCGCAGGATTTTCAAGACTCGGCAGCGTGGCCATGCGCAGCATCGCATGATGGGTGGTGATGTGCCGCGTATGACGCAGCGCCCCCTTGCCGGTAACCGTATCGCGTGCACTTGAAGAGGTGTGCGATGCCGCACTTGAACTGATATCTCCGCGATAGGAGCATGACTGCAGAAGGTTTGGGGAGAGTTGACTCGATGGAAACATGTCACCAGGCTCACGGCCAGTCGTCGGAGATGCGATACACCCACTATCTCAGGCACCATGGTCTGTTGAGGTTGCATGTCAGGGCTCGCTAGATAGCGGGTTGCGGTAAGGAAGATAAAGATAATGTGGGGTACCGAGGCGCCTACCGGGCCAGTCAGCGGCCAGCATAGCCAGTTTACTCGATGACATCGAGTAAAATCCGCCTGGCTTGTCCATCAGCCCGGCCATTCGTCCAATCTGCGCCGAGAAACTAGTGTTGCCCGTCTTGGGGCTAGTCACATGATCACATGATCAACTCCAAGACACTGACACGAACTACTCTTGGACCACGACACGACTAGTATATCGAGCAACTGTGGCGAGGCTGGGGGTGGTGCGGACTACGCTGCTTTTCTCTTTCCAACTCTCGGAACACTGTTCTCTCATCTCCTACTCTACCACTGCTTCTCCTTTTTCTCCGGCTTTTGTCATTTCACCAGTTGCTTGGCAGTTCAGTATATATCACGTGACATGCTCTTATCCATCAGCTCGAGCAGCCAAAGTGGTGGGCAGTCAGATTCAGTATACAAGCCAGTTGCTTTTCAATTTCCGGAGCTATCACAGAACAAATTTCCCAGTTTCAGTGTCGAAGAAGCTTTTTCAAAATATTCTCCTTGGTCGACTATTGTACTTGTTTGAGAAAAAATAAATTTCTGTGTCTTGCTTACTTCACATACAGTCTGTATCAGTTAATGCACAGAGTAAAATCAAGCAGTCAGAACAGCCGTGCCAGCCGAGGTAGGCAGATAGGTTGAGTCAGTTAGAGCAACCAACATTTACAGCAATGGGTCGGCAGAACAGTATACAGGTAAAGTTGCTTCTCTTCAGTGCCACTTTCGAGCTGTAAGTAGCAATCACAATATTACGAAAATATGGGATACTGTCACTGTACCTGTTCACGGTTGCCCACACATCAGCCAGGTCACTATACTACTAAGAAAAAACATAGCATTTCTATCCTTACACCGGCTCTTCTCGGATCTACAATCAATTAGAGTTCTCACTTTACATAAAAAATCTCATATCCCGACTCATGTATATCTCTATATATAAGGTAGTGTTACGTATATGCGTCAGCATTTAACACGATTAAGATCGACATTAGCAATAGCTTCTTCCGCACAGACCCGGATGGTATCGCAAGCTCTCGTACATGAGATGAGGGATTCATCTGTATTCGTGACTTATTGACATCTAATTTGGTAGCCTATAGCTCCTTTTTGCATGCGCAGGTGCGTACAGAGGGGAGAAAGGTGTAGTTATATTCATAAGGTTATTAAAAAAGAGTTCTGTAAAGTTAAATATTCATAAAACTCTTTTAGTCGAAAACCTTGCACTAGTATATATATCCTGCTAGTTTCGTACAATAATTGCTTTTACGAGGTTCGAAGTTCCAGCAACCCCAGTATGCTTACACGCTTCGAACAATTTCATCTTAGTCGATTCGTGTTTGAGTGGAGAGAATTTCATTTTATACATAGCAGAAAAACATAAATATCTATAGAATAAGTACCATTTCCCCCCATATCCGTTCAACAACCGATAGTTTGATTGCTAGTAATACCTTTAACGCCATGAAACTCATGTCTCTCGTCGAATCTTTGCTACGCTTGTAGTTACAAGCAGCGCCTCAGCCCCCGTCACTGGTAGCTACTGTTGCACCAGCGGCGCAAACACGGATCCAAGTACTGGAAGAGCAGCGTACTGTGTTAGTAGCATATGATTGAATATCATTCCTTTCAGCTAAACGTTTACAGTGCCAGAGTGGTTCTAACCCAAACATTGGTTCTGGCTGCGACCATAACCACAATTACCCGGTCGGCCACCATGATGTTGCCTTGTCAAGTGGGGGGTGCGGCCCTGATGGAAATGGATTCGTGGGTGAACAGTATTAAAGATTGGAGATTTGAGGATTAGGGTGTTTACGATGCGGTTTAGGGATGCCCTGTGGATAGCAAGACTAGAAGGATCCGACAACCAAATACAAATACCCGGGATCTAACTAGCTACTCAACAATAAGCAAGCCGCGTTCATCAAGTATATAACCGTCGACAATCTATCTCGATTATCTATGGTGTTCAGTTTAGACTTGTTTTACCCTCAAGCTGGACATCTGTCAGAAACCGAGCTGTCACGTCACACGTTAATCACATTCATTTGTACTAGTACAGAGATGCAAAGCTTCCCAGCCTTCTGCAAAACGAAACGAAACGACTATACAAACCTAACTAGCTGGCGTTGTCTATTCAAGACACAGCCAAGATATCCAGCTTTTACACTATGACACCCACCTTGCCAAACCAGCGGAATCACCCCGCTGATCCAACCGAGCCTCGCTACCGACACCCAGAAGTATGTAGGTATGTCAGTAAGTGGCGCGAGAGACGCCCCCCTTAGATGCCTCGGGTCATACCCACTAGCGAAAAACCCAAGACACGCGTCGCGCAACAGAGCAACCCGACACGTGACCCTCACATGCAAACCGTAAACCATCAGAAACAGGAAAGAAAGCGAAGCGAGAGACATCGCAATGCTTCCCTTGCCCCTCTTCCTGATCCGGATCCTTCCCTTCACGCACTCACACACATGCACATACCATCCGTTACTCCGCCCGCACACAGACACACAAGCATACGTACTCAAACCGCCTCTCCCCCAAAAAGCGCCCAAAACCCACCCGTCTCGTTTCCCCTTCAGACCCGCGGAACCCATCCGCATCCCTCACACACGCCACTTACCCTCCAACAGGGCGTAAAAGTGACGTACGTCCATGTATCGGGAGTGCGTATGGGTGTGTGCGTGGCACACGTTCAAAACAACGGGTACCTGCAGATAAACGATCTAGTAGAAGTATCGGAGTTTCCTTTCACCTAACCCCCCCCC